ATGCCAATGCATTTAATTGTCATAGCAACCCTATGTAGTGGGTACTATTATAATGTTATAGAAATGGGAATACAAATAGTTTAAGTAATGTGACCAAGGTCACACAGCCAATGAGACAGAGCCAAGATCTATTTCAAATTCAGATACTCAGTGCTCCCTATGCTGCCAAGCCTTTTCATTTCAGGACCGTTGTATTATAGGCATAAAAAAATCAGTTATTGAGAAATAGTAGACAGAATATTAGTGGTGCCTGTGAATCTTAAACGGTACACTGAAAAAATAAAGACCCTTATTAATGTTGTTTCTTCAAGTTACAATAATTCATTTATTTCAGATTTCTTAGATAGAAGGGCCTGTGCACATTTATTTCCCACTTTCTGCTGAGCAGTCAGTTCTTGAACTGGATAAATCGATAACCTAGACTTATTTCCAACTTATGAGATGAATATTTAAACACTACTGGGTATTTCTGGTCATAATATTTTCAAAGCTATTGGTTCCATCCACCTCCAAACTCTAGTGACTCTAACAGCCACCAGTTTGTGCTACTCACATACCTCTTCAGTGTTCTGAAGGACAGTCACTGAGCAGGTTAGCAGACAGCCTCCTTCCTTCCCCTTCTCTTGTCCTTCTGATATTTTTACCCTTTAATGGTTCAGCCATCACAGTTGGTACAGGGGTCAAGTCACAAGAGCTGAAGTTGCTCTTCATATTTCGTCATGAACCTCATATTTCTCCCTTAGGCTTAAGTTAAATAACTCTGTGTGTGCTACCTAAATCTTGGGTCATTTCCAGCTTCTAATACTAGCTGCTGCACCCAATACAGAGGCTTATTGTCATGACTGGAAACCAGAGCCCAAAGAGATGTCTTTCCAGGAGCAAGATCTAGAGGACCAATTCTCTGAAACTTTGGCAGTGTAGAGAAGGTGCCTCCCTGGGGACAGCTTTTGCAAAGTCTTTCTCTTTCCTGTATATTCCTCTTCCCTGCTGCCTCATTTTTCCCCAAAAGTCAGGTGGCATTGCTCATGAGTTTCATCTTAAACTGTTTTGTGGCCTTATTATTACTGGGGAGAGCCCTGCCCAGCCTGCCAGGACATGTTCCTTGATGACGCAGGTGATCAAGACCTCAGTGATGAACATGACACTATTCTTTGAAATACACTGCTATGGTGCCTTGTTCTTCTAAACCCACTTCTATGACTAGCTCCTTTCTAACAACCTCAATCTTAGAGTGACAGGAGGTCAACCATACCCCTCCTGTCCATTCTTGGAACTAAAGCTTGCTTCAAATTATAGAACTCTGCTATCTGCCAGTGTGAGAGTTGTGGGAGTTCTTAGCAGAATGATGATGATAATGGGGATAAACAACTTTCATTGGGTTTTTGTTTGAGTGCACATTATAAGCATTTATTGAATAACCCTGGAATTGACAGTATCTACATAGGAGCTTTACATGTGCATCATACACTCACAGTTATGGAGGGATACTGTCATCTCTATTGACTAGGTGATGAAACTGAGTCTGAGTTTGATGACTTGCCCCAGGTCCTCCAAGAGGTGCCAAAGCTGTGACATGAATAATAAGATACAAGAGTGATTCTTGGAGTTGGGCTGAGAACTCCAACAGATGCAGCTACTCAATGCCTAATAGAACTCTTACAAGGGATAGTTCCTTTTAATACTTGACTAACTTTTTCAAGACTCTGTTTTTCATTCCCTCTCTTTCTTTCTTTCTTCCTTCCTTCCTTCCTTCCTTCCTTCCTTCCTTCCTTCCTTCTTTCCTTCCTTCCTTTTTTCTTTCCCTTTCTTCCTCCTTTCCTCCCTCCTTTCTTCCCTCCCTCCCTCTCTCCTTTCTTTCCTTCTTTCTTTTTTCTATCTTTCTTTCTTTCTTCATGCTTGAGATCATGCCATCATCTTTAGCATAGCATAGACTTCCATATGCCAAGCACCAGGCTGTGTGCTCCTAGGCATACAAAGAGGAACAAGACTCAAGTGAGGCTGAGCAAAGTTTGGCGTGTAGGTGAGGAAGCCACCTTTGAATGAAGGTTTCCTTAAAGAAGCCTAAGTGTTGCTGTCGGTACCCACGGCAGCACATGCTTACTTCCATCTAAACAAAGGCTCTGGTACCCCAGAAACTACTGTCTTAAAGTGAGTGTAACAAATGCCACTCAACTATTTTCATGTGCATTCTTGTTTTCTCCCAAGGATTACTTTTATTGTTGTTGTTTATTTGTTTGTTTTGTTTTTGATTAAATAAGAAACAAAATATTCACATCATGAACTGACTAACTATGTGATTCTGAGTTCTCTTTTCTTCGGCTACTTTATTGTAGTAAGTAGGAAGGGAGCAGTGGAGGAGGACCCACAATTGATCCTGTTTATTTCACACAAATAAAAGACTAAGAAAATTATAATGTAGGCATAAGAGTGAATGTTGTGTAAGTGAGCATCCTTAACATGGATCTACAGGCTCTAAGAAATGCCATGTCACCCAACTCTCCCTCTCCACAGGGGTTCCTGTACTCCTGAGTTCCAGCCGTAACCACGCAGCAGCTATGCCTTGATGGTGCCCAGAACTCACCTGCCTCCCTTAATACTCCCTTCGCTTCCTGGAATAGTCTCTCTCCATCACTGTCTGTTGACTTGATATCAAATACCATCTCCTTTATTATGAAATAGTGTTTCCCCTTTTGTACTGTTAAATGTTTTATAGCTCTGACAACATCACATTCGGCACTGTGCTTGTCATCCGTATCTTAGGATTTTCTGCCTAGAGATGTCTTCCATGTATCAGCTGATAGTTGTTGAACTTAATTTTGTTTCCATTCTGTGTGCTTCTCCACCTGTCTTCAGTACTCTGTATGTAATGTGTCACCCAGCATGTAGTATGTACCCAGTGATTATATTCTGAATAGACTACCTCCCTGGACTCCAGTAAAGCAAACATCACAGAGAAGCACATGGAGTTGGGAAGACGAAGGCACTATCATGTTTGGTGGACAGAAATAGGATAACATGTCCCAAAGAGCATACTTTAAAATCAGTAGGGCCAGCAGGATGAGTTGAGGTCATACACCGGGAACTTTATGTTAATGTACACTTTCTCACATATATTATAAAATATATTTAACATATCAAACTTAAAATTTTATACATATTCTTTAATGAAAGCTTTTACACCTGAATAAAAGTGAAATTGGTTTGAGGAAAAGCAGTTCATAAATAATGTATAAGGTGTCACCAGCTATCACTGTGGATACCAAGAGCACCCAGAAATAACATTTCCAAGGAGATGGAGGTGGGATGAAGAGGTGCCAGCTCAAAGGGCCAGATCCACAGGTCTACAGCCTCCAGAACTTTAGAGTTATTTACAAAGCTCCATTTCTGTGAATTAATTAATTAAAAATACTTTTATTTGAAAGAAAGGGAAGGATTCTCCCTTTCACATCTCTTCCCGGAAATAGAGAATCGTGCTGGTGACTGTCAGGTGAACTCTGGCTTCCCCAGCTCCAGCTTGGCAATGACAAAGACTCTAAGGTGTGTTGGGACCCCTGCTTTCCTGAAAGTCTAGCACTCCACAGGAGGAGGATCACCTCAAAGTGGTCCTCTCTCACATACACTTCAGGGTTCACCTCACCACCATCATCTTCCTTCTCCAATTAAGAGATCAAAGTAGAAGGGTTTGACCTGCTTTGGAGGTTTAAAAGCATCCACAGAAACCCAAAGAACATTTAAAAGTCCCACCTTCCCTGACATATCTTCCTGGGGGAAGGCTGGGATCCACTCCTCCTTCCTTCTCCTAACTAGTGTCTAGAGGCAGAGAGCCAGGGCAGAGAGTCAGCAGGCTCTAACCATCCTGATGAAAAGACTCTTACATTCTGTATAACCCTGTCTAATCTCAGTCAGCATGTCTGGTGTGCCTTTTCCCTCTCCACACAGCTATGAAGTTCTTTTCAGAATTCACTGTCAAATTCTTAATTTTTTTCCTGATTAATTTTAAAGACTCCATGTTAAAATTAAAACTATAAAAAAATTCTAAATCTAACTTTGTTTGTCTCCCTAAACCCTTCAGGTTTAATACGTCAGCTCATTTTAATGAGACACTATGAGGAGTTCATAGTCCCTAATATAGGACACACCTTCTCCTCATTAGCACTCTGGGATTTGAAGCCTCCATTTAAAAAAATCAAATAGAGCATCCTCAGAAATATCTAAGTGATGGTTCATGCCTACCATCCCATTTTAAAGACTGATACAGGAGGATTTCTATGAGTTGGGGCCAGACCAGGCTACAGAGTAAGACTGTCTCAAAACAAACAAAAAATTAACTAACCAGACTGTCTGTTGGTGGGTCGCATTTCTCTGGGGAGATCTGTCTATTGGCAAGATAACTAGATGTGAAAAATGACCTTGGGTGGCTGCTGCTACTCATTTCTGTTGGAGAGTGGGGGCTTTGCCTGTCTGGAGAGTTCATTCTGCGGGGTTCTACACACCATCGGGGTTCTTTGGTTCTTTTTCCACAGGGTTACACTGGGGAGAGAAATGCTTTGTGGCTTATGACAAGACCATGGCAGGATATTTTGTGCATGCTGTGATTTGTATCGCCCATTTGTGCACAGGCCATAAAAGCGCACTTTTTATCAGGAACATGTGTGAATATATAAGAGCAGTGAAGACATATGGCCACTAAATAATTCACAGTTATCTATCTTCTCAGCAGATTCCATATACACCTACCGTGCTTTCATGCCTCGTTTGCTTGGAAACAATATTCTTTACGACTCTCCCAATATAAAAATGTTTACTGAATGGCCGTAGTATGTGGATACCGTGGGACTGGCCTGGAAGACAAGGGGCGCTTACTGCTTCCTGTTCCTCTTCCACCTTTCTTCCTCATCCTCTCACCAGCATCCATTCTCACTGGAAAGTGTGCCCCTCCCGGAAGGTAGTGTGTGCAATTCTGACCGTCACTGACTACGCTACCCTTCTTCTCTTTTCAGCTCTATATCCATCTACAGTCCCAAGGAGAACCCCAACGCGTTTGACACTGCCGCCTTCTTCCAGTCAGTGGGGAATTTCCTCGGGATCTTCGCAGGCTCCTTTGCAATGGGCTCCGCGTATGCAGTCGTCACAGCACTGATATCCTTTGTCATTGCGTGGGAGCTGGGGACGGTCCAGAGCAGCCAACATGAAGGAAGTGTTTCTGAGGCTGGATAACCTCCTCAGCAGCGAGTGGCGAGATCAGTTTGAATTTGATACAGCGCTGCTGAACCCACCCCCCGTTCTGGGTGATACCGTGAGGCATTGAATCAGTACCAGCAGTAGGGGGGCAGGTTATTTCTCTGTCTACGGTCAAGTCTACCGCTGTTGCCGGTGCCTTCTCTTAGACAGCCTTGGAAAAACTGGCACCTAAGGAAAGTTGTGAGCGCAGGACACCAGGACTGACTACATGAAGGTAAAGAGGAAGAACAACGGAGAGCCAAGGTCCAAACTAGAATAGCATCAACTACGGTTGATAAAGTCAGATGCTCTGCTGTCACTCACCGGCTGATAGGGCAGGCCAGGACAGTGACCAGTAGGGGATTTAAAAGCTTTCACAATTGTATTGTGGGAGGAAATGAAGAAATCATAGTTGTTATGTATGGCTTTCTTTTGTGTCTTAATCGTCAGGTAGAGCTATGGCAGAGGTCACATGCTACCTGGACTAGAGTAGTCATAATGACGACGGGAACACTAACTGAAAGTGTAGCGTGTGACAAGACCTTCCCAGGCACCTCTTCATTTGAATCCAGCCTATAGGACATGTCATTACTGTCTTCTCTTTACACAGAAGATTAAGGAGGTAAGGGACCTCCCATATTAACTCTGGGTCCCCACAACAGTAACAATGAGCATGGTGATAATAATACCAGTTAGAATTTACTGGGAACTTTGATACCCCACCACTATCTTAAGCATTTTTTTTTTTTTATCTCAGACACTTTGTACAGGGATCCTGTAAGGTAGATCCTGTTATTATTCTAATTGTACAGCTGAATAATCTCAAACAATTAAAGTTAAATAATTTGGCTGTGGCCATAGATCTAGGGTGCGTGTGGGCTTTTCAAAACCAGGCTTTTTACCCTCATAGCACAGATGGGGTGGGAAAGTTGAAATCGGAACTCCCTTCAGGCTGGTGTGAGAGGAATGTGTGGACACAGAAGTGAGCAGGGTGATGAGGAGAGGGAACTGTGCTGGAGGCCAGAAATCTGCCAGAGGTCAGGTCACATCTGGAAGAAAGAGCATAGAGACAGCTGAGCTAGGGGGCAATGGAAAGCGCACCATTACAGTCAATTGTGTGACACTTGGTGGCTTTCACAGGCTCTATAGACAGGCTGTAGAGGAGGCAGGTGAACACAGCTGTCTGTCTGCTCCTACCCTGGACATCGTGTCCACACTAAGGTAGGCTCCTTAGTTCAGGCCTCGGGCTCTAGACTTGGACTTCCACTCTGAACTAATGACTTTCCTGGAGAAGGTTAAAGGGAAGGATGTTCTTTAGCCTACTTAGATATGCTACTCTGATAACCTAACAAGTGGAAGCCTTCCCTTTGAAACAAACCAGAAAGAGTTAGGAGGGTGAACCTGATGAGAAGCAAAGCCTTCCTCCTGAGTAACAAAGGGGGGAAGTTGGGAAGGACCTAAGGTAAGCCTGTGTCTTATTCCACATGATCCAGATCTTTCAAGATATGTTCTCAGGAAGGATGTTTTACCAAAAGAAGTTAACCTAAACCACCAACAGAAAAATTCACATAGCCCTCACTGCATGCCAGTGCTGCCATGAGTACATCATTCTGTACGGAGGCATGTGTCAATGCTCAGAAAAGGCCATCATCCCACTTTCCCTCGGAGAACCAGAGGCACTAAGTGGCTTAGATTTGTGACTAAGCGGAGAGTGACTTTCGAATCCTGCCATTCTGACTCTCAGCATTCTAGCTTCCTGAAATTTAACAAATCACTTTTCACACACTTACCACATTTCACTCTCCAAACTTGGGGGGAGATGTATTATTCATGTTGCCAAGTCACATAGGACAGAGGTAAGGGTCAGTAATACGCTGCTCAGAAGTCACACACCCAGTGGCTAGACAAGCCAAGGATTGAACACAAATATTCCATCCTAGAGGTCAAAGGTCATGCTTTTCCATCCGCCCCATGGACTATTCATCTTTTAATATAGAATAGGTTTCATATTTTCTTCTAAAAGCATTACATTACAAGTCAATCGCATCTCATTCTTTTCCAGAGCACTTGGTGCCTAGCAAACATGTTAGCAATGCCACACTTTCCCATTATCAGAGGTTCCTAACCATCCCTCCATAACCCATTCTTTGCCCAGCTTGGGTCGCCATCCTTTATTTGCCTTCTAATTTATAGTTTATAGATTACTGCCCAAGCACCCCCTTTGGCAAAATGAACCACTATTTGACAAAGGTGTTTGACTTAAACCTAACACTAATCCTCCTCTGTATATTAATACCAAGAGGGCTTGAGCAGTTCCCCTCTCACTGTGAATAACTGTATCTGTTGCCCTGTTTCCACCCCTCTGGGAAGGGGTTCTACAGAGGAGCAGGTTCAGGCTACATCCTAGGGACCAGCACCACTGCCTCCTCTAAGGGATGCCTCTGACTCTAAGGCACTCTCCTTTGCTGGACCTTCTTCTATCTGGTCCTGTTTCTGGGGTGACACTCTAAGAGACAACCCACACTCAGGAGAGTTCATACCCACAGCCTGATGGGTTTACTCTTAGTAGATACTTTTTTAAAAAAAAATCTGAACCCTGGTTTGAAATTTTTATGGGTGTGTTGAGCCTACAACGCAGCATGGAATCCATGCTCCTCTTCTTAGGACCGACGAGCCACACCTACTCAGATATGAACAATCAGCCTTTTACTCTGCAGCTGTCGTCACCAAATCCATTCCTCTTAGCCAACAAGCAGATTTAGTTATAAAAACAGTTGTTGTTTTCCTTAACACATCTTGTCACTTGACCAAATTTACCAAGCTCTGTGAGTTCCCGATGCTGGAGACAGGCCTGTTTTTCCTGCTTTCTTGGAGTGCCTTCCTGTCTGCAGAGGCTGCCGGCTTAACAGGTCAGTACTTCATGCTGCAGTGTGAGCAAGACCTGTGAATGTGGCTTCTTGTATGTGTGGCCCAGCAGGAGAGGAAATGAAGTCTCTCTTAAATAGTGAATCAAATGGATTCTATCAAAATCAGCCTCTGTAGGGCTCCCTGGGGAGAAATAATAAAAAAAAATAATTCATCCACTTTGTGCAAAATAGTTTAACAGAATGATTTCAGAATGTTCTTTTTCTCCTTTTTGGACAGGAGGGGATGTTGAAAGGACTGGCTTATAGTTATGATGGATGACTTTACAAAGGAAAGGCTACATGCACTGTGAAGGGATACACACAACCAGCCTTGCTGGGGAGAATGGAGGGGCAGCAGATTCCAGTGTGGGCAACCTCTTCAGGGTGTGCACATATAAACACATCAGTGTGCAGAATTTTTACACAGCTGCCTGGCCAAGTCAGAAAGCCACAAGCCAGTGGGTTGTTCTACCATCTAATGCCCCATATGGCAGAAAGTCTACAGAGTCCTCTGAGGTCGGGCAGTTGATCCAGAGAAAGCTGTCTTTAAGATCCCATGGACTTCGGATCCTTTGCTATGGATTCCTCAACCAAATGCCTGTTCGGTCACTCCATGGGCTGCACTAGGGTGGCTGTACTAATTGGGTGATTGCCATGTGCAAGGCTCACCAAGGCTCTTCAGTCTGACTTCCTGCTGCTCTCGTTTCAGTCCTGGGCCCATTTCTACCCACCACATTTTTACTGACAAGCAAGCGTTGAGAATCTCTACTCTACCATTACCCGTAGTTAGACCCATGTTCTTGGGGTATTTTCATTCTAATGATGAACAACCTAAATAATTAAAATCGACACCCATTGAGGATGTTCCACAAACCAGTTTACTACCTGTCCCAGATGATCTCATTAATATACAGAAAGACCCAAAAATAAGAGGTGCCCCAGTTCACTGTGTGGTGAGTGGTGATACGGAGATTTAAAGCTATGGCAAATGAACCTCCCCTGTGGGAGACCAGGATGGCCTCCAAGAAAGGGTGGTCTCTGGGTCCCAGGAGCCTGCTTTGCCTCTTGGGCTAGTCATTTCTGTCCTGTTACTGCCATGCACATCGTTTTAACATGATGACCAAGTGATAAGCTGGCCTGAAACATTGCAAAGCCTTGTGGGCCCTGCATTCCTACAGGGTTCTAGCCAGAAAACTGCCTTGCAAGTTCTCATGATGCTCTACTCAAGATGGCACCACCAGATTCCACCCTCCTGGGCACTTTATCTAAATCATTGCAATGCAAAGACCGTTATGTTGACATGTTGTCATGTTACTGAGGAGTTTGCTAAGAGGCTGTGCATCTGAGGGCTAGAGTGGATAATGTTTTCTAAATGAAACAATATAGGCAACCCCTTATGTCACAGTTATTCAAAAATAGTTTCCCTTTTCTCCATAGTCTGTGTCCTGTTCTGTACCTAACTTGTGAAATTATCTACATTATGCTAACAGTTAAGAATCAATGCTTGACCTTCTAGAAAGGCTAGGAAGTGTCTTATAATAAAGCCATGCAAGTACACACATCACACACACACACACACACACACACACACGCATGCACGCACGCACACACGCACGCGCATTTCTATGAATGAAGATTTTCTACTTCTGGGTTCCTTTCAACTAGATCTTATTGTAGAAACTATATGCAAGGTTTCAGTCTACAGGAAACTTTACACTGCTGCTCTTCTTACCTTGCTCTTTTACCTTTTCAACCTGATTCCCTTAGTGAATACTTGAAGATTAAGGAGCGAGCCTCACAAGATGGGCAGTTGCAGGTATGGGCTTTGGTAGTAGGAAAACCCCACTGTCTATGGCTGAACCCGGCAGCAGGCTCTCCCGAGCAGTACTCCAGATTTAGGCAATATGCCTAAGAGGCATTTGATTCAAACCAAGCTAGGTACGAGCATTTCCTATTGCCAAAGACCAAGCCTGGGCAGTCCAAATCACTTATGTGTTTATTTGTTATTTAATCCTTGCCTGTTTCCAAATTGGATTTGTGACAACTCATAATACCAGCCATGCGTATCATGGGACCTCTTAGTTGAGGATAAACATTCATGTTCTGGGATAGAGTTTTTTCTTCAAAATTAGGCAGCTGTGTGTTTGCTATAGTTTGGCAATAACCATGGCTCTGAGCTCTCTGGGAGCCAAAGTCAAAAGAGAACATGTTGACTAGTCCAGGACTGAAACAGCCTTATCAGAGGAAGTCACAGTTATTTATATAAGTGAGCAAAAATTTTTAAGGGGGATTTCTACTAAAATTTGAGGAGATTTCATCATTTGGATCATCATATGGGGAGTTTGAGCACCTGAATGGAAATGTCTTTAATAATAATTTGGAGAAGTTGGAGACTTGTTCTTCATATGCTCATTTCTCATATTCACCTCTGAAGAAATCTGAAGGTCTAATATCCAATGAAATTCTCTAATCTCATCTCAGTGTGACGATACCATCCTAGACCACAGGTAAATTAGTATGGTGCAACGATGAAACCTAGAGACCTTTTTAAAATGCTTAACAAATGAATATACAGCAATAAATTCAGAAAAGTATAAAATGGAATGAGCTAAGGAACACTTGACCAGCAACCATGGGGGATTGCTCATCTGGCACACTAACAGTGCAGCATGCAGGACCTGGACGTGGGACCCATGTGCCACCATTTCCCAGAAAGACTCCCTGAGCCCAGGCATTGCCAAATGGGTCTGTAGGTGGATTTTTCTGCCTCTCCTGCCAGCTCTCAAATCACAACACAGAGACTTATTATTAATTATGAAATCTTGGCCAATAGGTTAGGCTTTTACTAACTAGCTCTTGCAACTTAAATTAACCCACTTTCATCAATCTACTTTTTGTCTCATGGCTTTTACCTTTACTCTGTAATGCCCATGCTGCTTCCTCTCTACCTGGCTGGTGACTCTTCCTTTCTTCTTCCCAGCATTCTCTCTGCCCTGAAAATCCTGCCTAGTTACTGGTCAGTTAGCTTTTTATTAAACCAGTCACAGTGGCATATCTTCACACAGTGTAAAGGGATATTCTACAGCATGGGTCCTCGAGGACATCACCCTGAAAGCAGGCCTGTGAGCCTTCCATGTCTGGTTCACCTCTTTTGTAGGTTCTATGAGTTAGTTTTTCACTTAAGACTGGTCTTAAAAACAGGATTTCTGCCCGTTTGACTATAGCGTATCTGTTTTTAAATACATATCTTCACTTTTTTTTACTTACTTCTATGGTAAGACATATTTACCATATGAAATTTTAGAAAATATACATTCACAGAAGGAAACAAATTAGAAATAGCTTGTATCATCATTTCCTATTTATAACTATTATTAATATTATAGTGTCCATTTAATAAAATGTATGTGTATACATTTACATTCACATATAACAAATTGTATATGTTCTAAATATATTCAGGCATTTAGATATTTAATCTAAATTTAATTTAGAGAAGTAGTAAGCAACTTGCTTTCCTTACTCAACAAATGCTTTTTCTGACATTCAATACCATGGCATATAAAGTTAACTTCTACTAAGCCTTTCGATTATTTAGAGTTTTTAGTATTAATATTTTTGAGGTAATAATCCTTATAGCTAGATATTTTAGTTAGGGTTTCTATTGCTGTAAAGAGACATCATGACCATGGCAACTCTTATAAAGGAAAACATTTAGTGGGGTGGCTTACAGCTTTACAGGTTCAATCCATTATCATCATGGGGGGATGTGGTGGCATGCAGGCAGATGTGGTGCTGGAGAAGGAGCTGATAGTCCCATAGATCTTGAAGGCAACAGGAAATGGGCTGGGGGTCACAGTGAGGGGAGCTTGAGCATCAGGGACCTCAAAGCCTGCCCCCACAGAAACACACTTCCTTCAGCAAGCCACACCTCCTAATAGTGCCACTCCTTATGAGCTTATGGGGCCAATTACATTCAAACTACCACACTAGTTGGTATGAACACTCTCTAATTTGTACTTGCCCTTTCATTTTAGTGTGCGTGTGTGTGTGTGTGTTCCCATATATGTATGTGGTGTTCATGAATTGGCATAGGTTCTTTCTTTGGTCATTCTCTACCCTCTATATTGAGGCGGGGTCCTTGCTGAAGCCATACTTACTGATGTATCTAGGTAGCTAGCCAGTGTCCTCAGGGATCCCCTGTTCTACATCCCAAGTGATGGGGTTACAAGTGAGTCATCACACCCAGTTGTCATTTACAGGCGTACTGGGATCTGAACTCTATTCCTCCTGCTTGATCAACAAGTCCTTTAGCCATGGAATCTTCTCTCTGTACCCGTTTCCTTTTAAGTATGTTACATTGTGTTTGCTTGTATCAGGTAATGTGGTTAGTGTAGACATTTTCAATTTTTATGTAAGTTTATCCCCATTCTATAATGCCCAATATTTCTTTAATGATAATATATGCTTTATTGTAGTAGTTCTTTGCTTTTACTTGTGGGATAGAATAGGGATTTGATTTCCTTCACAGATGGTAAGCCACCCATAGATGTAAGTCTATCTGTGCAAACATGTATTATGTGTATGTTCTGGACTTTCTGTTGTTCACTTAGCATTGGATCTTCACTCTTTAAATTTTTCAGTTTCATGGTTTATCTTAATATCCGATAGATCAGGGCTGGAGGGATGGCTTAGCAGTTAGGAGCACTGCCTACTCTTCCAGAGGACCTAGATTTGATCCCCAGCACCTACATAGTGGCTAACAACCATCTGTAACTCCAACTCAAGGGGATCCAGTACTCTCTCCTAGTGTTCATAGGAACTGCAAGCATGTGATGCAGAGACAAACACACATGAAGGCAAAATACCCATACACATAAAAATAAATCTAAAATAATTTATCTATACATCTACATATATGTATACAGGTATATAGATACTGCTGATCAATATCCTACATTTCATCTTATTTTTAAAGGCCTCTGTGCTGTCTATAGTGCTCA